TCAAAGCGAATTGTCGCTTACACCAGCCGTGACAAACGTTTTCAATAAATCCCTCTTTGAGCGATTTGTCCCGAACGACTGGAAATGCTCGATAGTGTGATGGCTTCCCAAGGGTGGTGATCCGAGTAAAATAGAGAACTATAGACCGATCTGTTTGACTTCGGTATTATCCAAAGTGTTCGAGAAGGTTGTGGAAAAGTGTCTGCTGTCGTTCTTGGAATCGAAAGACGTATTGACGCCAGCGCAACACCGCTTTACGAAAGGGCGGTTCTGCATCACGAACTTGATGCACGCAAACCACCAGTGGGTACGAGCTCTCAACGAACGGAGGGATGTTGACGTGGTGTACATCGACTTTAGTAAGGCGTTTGACAGAGTAAACCACGAGGTACTCCTTGGTAAACTGAGGACATACGGAATCGGTGGCACGTTACTTCAGTGGTTACACGAGTTTATTGTGGGACGAAAGTTTAGAGTACAGGTCAATGACTTCCTGACAGTCTGGTTCCCATCGACTAGTGGTGTGCCTCAAGGAACTGAACTTGGGTCAGTATTATTTCTTATCCATACCAGCAATCTTCCGCGGCAGCTCCAGTCACCATGTGCCTTGTTTGCAGCTGATTTGCAAATCTGGAGGATCATTGAGAACCAGGACGACTGCGTTCGCCTCCAGCATGACTGTCAACGTGGTCCACTGAAATGCAACTCCCGCTTAACGCAAGCAAGTTGGAGTTCATCAGTATCACTAGACGTCCAGCCACTCGATCATACACCTTGGACGGCCAGTTGCTCCATCCCAACACATCTGTCAGAGACTTAGGAGTTCTCTCACGACATGATTTAAGATCACTCGAAAATACAGAAAAATTGTACCGTGTGGCACTTCGTATGCTTTGGGTATTAAGACTCAGTTTCTCCATATGGTCCGAAAAAACCATCCCTCGTCTATTCACCTCGCTCATTAGACCAATCCTTGAATACGGCGCCCCAGCTTACCATCCGATAACCCAGTGGGAAACTGAAAAGCTGGAGAAAATATGGCATATCGCAACTAGAATGATACCGAGTCTACAAAAGCTTCCGTATGCAAAACATTGTGAAAGGCTCGGACTCTACACACTATCCTATCGCCGAGTAAGAATTGACCTTATTATGACCCATCGAGTACTACACTTAAATCACTTCCCCATACTGCGGCCAATATTTCACCTGCGGGAATCCTGTAACACCCGAGGACACCGTTACAAACTCAGGATCCCCAGCATGAACAAAGTATCACATCAGCTTTGTATCGAACGAAGAATCGTAAACTTATGGAATACACTAACGGAAAGATTAATAGAGGCCTATTCTGTGAAGTGTTTTAAAACGCGTATCGACGATTATTTCGGAAAACTGTGCTTTCGTGAAACCATGCAATAACAATGCCACAAGAAGACATTGTATGTCTGGAAATAATGACACTATTACAAATTCCTAACCGAACAAGGATAAAGGATTAACGGACCGGACACAACTGCTGATGATGCACAACTAAATGTTTTTGCTTATTCGATAGAGTTGTACAGTAACCTTTCTACTTGCTCTTAAATACAGTCTAATGTTTCCATTTTACTTACGGTCTTTGTGATCGGAATGACCGAGGTCCACCTCAAGTGAACCGAGGTCTCAATAGAGGTTGCTTGTAGCAACCCAACCACCAGCGGAGCCTCCAAGTCCAACTTTGCATTCGTTCTCGCTGGACCAAGCGTTGCTCGTGGATCTCAGTGGCATAGTGCTTATGGTGTCAACCCTGAGCCACTAGACTCTGAGTTCCGACCCAACTCAGGCTATCTCGAACTGATGAGTGCTAACCAGGACGAAACCGCGGTCTTCGGGTGCCAGTGTTGGGGTGAGCAACACTATAATGTTTCCATTTTACTTACGGTCTTTGTGATCGGAATGACCGAGGTCCACCTCAAGTGAACCGAGGTCTCAATAGAGGTTGCTTGTAGCAACCCAACCACCAGCGGAGCCTCCAAGTCCAACTTTGCATTCGTTCTCGCTGGACCAAGCGTTGCTCGTGGATCTCAGTGGCATAGTGCTTATGGTGTCAACCCTGAGCCACTAGACTCTGAGTTCCGACCCAACTCAGGCTATCTCGAACTGATGAGTCCTAACCAGGACGAAACCGCGGTCTTCGGGTGCCAGTGTTGGGGTGAGCAACACTATAATGTTTCCATTTTACTTACGGTCTTTGTGATCGGAATGACCGAGGTCCACCTCAAGTGAACCGAGGTCTCAATAGAGGTTGCTTGTAGCAACCCAACCACCAGCGGAGCCTCCAAGTCCAACTTTACAGTCTCAGTCTCGTAAAGTACACGAAATTATTAGGGCGGTTTGTGCGCATAGTTCAGGCAGAGTGAAGGCCTATGACAAGCCCTTTATTATCTCCAGCGTTGTGAGACAAGAATCTCCGCTGTTACCTTTCCTTTTTAATTTCTCCATCGACGAGGTCATGGAAACAGCGTGCATTGGACACGACGTGCAAAGTGTGAAGGTGCTCCTAGGTGGTCGGCTTCTTGACTTGGAGTGCGCCGACGACATTGTTTTAATCTGTGACGGCTTCCAAACGTGCCAAGTAATACTAGACAAATTAGCATTATTCTGCTAATTCATCATCGTCACTCTCAATCAGCAGGCTTATGCTAGTCTGGAAATGCACCAGACGCCGGTGTTTCGACATTCTGGGTCTCGTCAATGGTGCGCCTCCCAGCGGACCCCTGCAGGGTTAAGCCCCCATGACTTCAGGATATCAGCAGCTAGTGCCTGTTCATTGGGAATGACGGTAATGAATTGGCTGAATTATACCAAAATCCTCACTACTACTCATCAGTAAATTAGCATTAGCTATCAGTCGTTTCGGGCTATGCTTTACATCCTCGAAGTGCCAAGTCCTTCTCCAAAATTTCCAGGGACCGCCTGTGCTGACACTGATGTGGTGATCAGCTAGAAGTCTTCCAGTAATCTAAGTATCTGGGCAGCTATATCAGCACTAGTAAAATGGAAGATGAGATCACAAACCGCAAAGCAAAAGCTTGAATCGCTTTTGCCAAGCTCCGCCACTTGTGGCGTCTGCGCAAGCTTCTCGCCCTGAGTGGCAGAGTTTACACTGCTGCTGTCCGTTAAACCCTCCTGGTCCATCAAGTCGACAGAAATAAAGACTATTTACGTTCGATCATCGCAACATTCGCAGCTTAGCTCATGTCTGGTGAGAATACCGCGTGAGCACTGAGCGTGTTCGGCGTCGTATATTTGATGCCGGAAGAGCGAGTGAACCGCTCAGCACCAGTATATCACCCACCAGGCTCCGATGACTGAGCCACGTTTTGCGCATGCCAGCCCACTGACTCCTGCGACGTGCATTGTTTGTGCGCCCGGAGTTTGGACGGAAGAGAAACAGGGCGGCTGAGCGATGACTTGATCAAGAGGAATAAAGGCCCTCAATTTGAACTTGGCGATGTTGACTGGGCACCGAAGGATAATGGACACGTCTGGTTGGATACGCTAGTTGGCATTGCGAGGAGCAGACCTCAATGACGTTTGTGTTGTGAGTTTCTTTGTCCCTTCCTATCCTGCTTATCTTCCCCCTCCGATCACGATCCCTCTCTCTAGGCATGTTTTGTTACCAAGCACTGTTATCTGTTTTTGCATCCTGTGCTGTTTAGTATCCTGCTCTTTCAGATATCTTATCTTTCTGTATTGCAGCATAATAGTTGAGGTGTGTTTCTCACCTTCATCCAACGTGTAATGGTGATGATGTGCAAGCCGATGCGGCCTGCCCTCATGGCCTGACTCACATTGTGGAAAAGCACATTAAGTTGTCGAATTTGCTGCAAGTTCTTGTATTTTACTATTTCGATGGTAATTCTTTAACGACACTCCATATGTTGGTGATAGGCTAGTCAAGTTATTATCGCGCTTTCCACCCATTGTTGGGCCCGTGGCCGTTCTGTTTTTTTTAAACCATGAGTGTAATACCAGCGCGCAACTATTTGCTACTTAGCCTCAGTAACCGTCGTCCACTGGAGCCTTTTTCATTGGAACTTTGCAATACTTTTCGCAGAAGCCCCTCTGTCTATTCCGAAGAGCTGTTTTCATGGGCTTTTCGGCTTTACCGATTGGCTGTTTACTGTTGCTGTGGCTTTTGGCGTAACTAATTTTCCTCATCTGGTGATTTTGTGTTGCATACTTATCCTACCTCGGTCCCTATCCTAGAAATTGTTAACCCATTTTAGATGCTTTGGATTCCATCATTATCTTGATTTACCATCTAATCGCTAGGCAAAGTCAACCCAACCCAATGTGAAGCGTTGCGCATGGTGAGCTTGCAAGTGATGGGCAATCACTTTATCGTGACCATGGCTGCTTCCCACGGCCAACTTCAGCTCAACGTTTTCAAACCCATGATTGGTTCGAACATCTTGCATTCGTGTGCATTGCTGACTGACGTCGCACATAGCTTCACCGAACATTGCATCCGCGGACTGCAGATTAATACCTCTCGCATTGAGGAGTACGTGCAAAAGTCACTCATGCTTGTCACCGCATTGACTCCGCACATCGGATATGATGAGGCCGCAAAGTTGGCGAAATATGCCGGACAGAATAAGCTGACATTGAAGGAGGCAGCCGCCCAATTGAAATTGGTCGACCCCGAGGAATTCGATCGTCTTGTCCACCCGAGAGCCATGGCCTTTCCGCACGATGACAATTAATCACTTCATTTTTCCTAGATGTATTACTCTCTCTGTCTTCTAATTTTGTCTCATTTCCTTGTTGCATGTTGCGGTTCTCTGCATGCTCAACATTTTCTCTAATGCGCCCATCGTTTAGTTCCACTTCATCTTCATATCTTTCAACTGATAGGTTATTCTAATCAGCTTATACGAAGAACACGCATTGCCAAAGTGTTGTTGACATACATTCGTGCTATCCACCTTTTGAGTTTGTATAACCCATAACACCGTTAGGTACCTGTTTAAATGCACACTTGGGAACTCTCCCTGGAGTCCTTGCGTTGTCAGTTGTTCTGCTACCTCCAATGTTCGCTAGCCTCTTAAATACATCGTTGAACGTTTTCCGGTGCTTGTTACGCGTTTAGGACTTATTTGTCTTAGTGTACTGATAGTTTAATGCCGTTTTATATGTAACAATATTACCTCATCATCTGTTATCTGACTCTTCCCGTCATCCTCTGAATCCTTAGGATATCCGCAAGAGCAAAATATGTTACTTTGCTCATTATCAGTTCAGAATGCTGATCGCTATTTATGCGCCCTAGGAAGGCTAAATGGTCGTCATGGCTTTTACTGATCATGGACGCTTCTATCCGGAGTAACCTTCAGTCATGCACCTGTCCCTGGGCGTTGCTTGTCACAGCCGAACACGACGGTCTTGCATTAACTGTGTGTTCCAGGGCCACTCAGTTCTACAGCAGTGCGTGGTTTAGCCGGTGCAACACTGGTCGTCACCGTCACCATTCAGTCACAGGAAATGGCTTCACTTGGTTCGTTGTACCAGCTTTGTTGGTCGAATCACAGAACAGCTTGCTGCAATTCATGTAGCTTTTCGAAGCCATAGCCCTCTGCGGAAACCGAATGACAACGGTTGATCAGTTAATTGAAAGTTTTGCAGCGCTACAGCGAGAATAATGTTACACAGCAGACTAAAATCATGAGCGTTGCTCTTGAGACTCCGAGAAACTGCTAGACTCTGAGCACCAGCGCTGATTGAGCTTAGCTTTTATCTGGGGAACACCTAGTGCATAGTGCTGAGGCTACCTTGCTGATGACTGCTTACAGACCTGATCGCACAGCACCGAAGTTTTATTTGATCTTGAATTCAAATTTGAATCATCGTGAACGGAGTTTGTGAGATGACACTCTCATTTCGTACATTCTCATCGGTCACATACGCGCAAATACTAAAGGAACCATCGGTCATATGAAATGGATTTGTGGTCAATTGATTTTCCGATTGGTGCGTTACGCGCTACCACGGCATTAATCGGAAAATCAGTTGACAACAAGTCGACTCCATGTGACCTTACTTTGGTTCCTTTGTTATTTGCATCTACGTGGCCGAAGAGAATGCAAGAATTGACATTGTCATCTCACAACCTCCGTGTTCTGCTGTACTTATGTTGACTTCTAAAGGGAATTCCTTTTGCGTATCCACCGGTCGTCTCTCTCGGCATACAATATTTGCCTTTGCCATATGTAGTTGTGTGAAGTTCAAGAGCGATTAGCAGATGTTGCACCATAAAGACACAAATTTAACTGGATAAGGCCAATGTGTCACGGGAAACTGTAATCATTGACATGACTTGATGTAACTCGGTTTGCTCTCCACTTTCTTATACGTTTCTGCTGCATCATTGAATCCTTACTTTTAAGCCCTGAATATGTTGCGGTTTTCTCCTTAGCATAGCTTATAACCAGTTGATTCACTTTGACCTGCACAGATGTCCGGTTGCTTGACTTCATCAAGATGATTGTGATGTGTAGCAGACGGGCATCACATTCCGTGAAGTCGATGTTATCCGCTCGCGTGTCTGCATAGCGGAACCGACTTGACGATACCACTCGCGACCTTATTGTTCATGAGGGATCACAGTTCAGTGCATTTGGATAATGATCACTGCGCTGTCATCTGTCCATCACATTTGGGATAATGTTAGAGAGATAGAGAGAGAGCGAACGTGCAAGGGGGCAGGCAAAATTCCATCAAAAAATAGTTAATAAAGAGAATTCGTATCGCAGAACTCGGTCCTTCAGGGACAAACGGTTTATTCGGCAAAGCGAGGTCCGCATGAATCACCTCATAACAAGTATGTAGGAACCTCGATGTAGATAACTAACTCATTTCCATAACTATCGACGCTGCTGCATTCATGAGATTCTTTCTTTGAACCAGTTAAACAAACCTGCTCCAGCGAACCAATCCGCGCATAGACGAAATATGCGTAGCTGTCCAATCAAGTGGTCTGCTCGCTTGCGGCAAGCTAGCCGCTTGCTTCGCTATGTAAATCGTATTATTCTTCTGCTTGCACAATACGCTCACATCCTTCCCTTTTTCGGGATCATCTGCATCGGTATCCCGGAAGACTCCCTACGCTCTTCCGCTTCGCATGGTCTTTGTTGTTGAGATCTCTCTTTAAGGAGTCAAGTGTTTTGCCGCATGTTCACCTTCCCGTTCCCGTCGTCATCTCAGCTGCACCCCCTATTTTTATCTTATCATTATCTTGCCGAACAATCTCCTCGTAGTGCAAGCTGGGTGGTTCGGGATTTTCCTCTTTCAGCGAATGTTTCGGCGGCAGTGTTCCAGGACGTGGTGGGTTTTCGCCTGATAAGTGTTCTCTCTATAAAAAGCCACATATGTCCGTTTAAAATCACTGTGATGTGGCGGATGTGACTCGCCACTAAATAAAGCCACTGCTGGTTGCTTCACTCTAGTGGAGCATTGTATTCCAGCTGCGAGATGCTGTCATCGTGAGGAGGATTGGGCTCTTGTTTCTTACCTGACCAGATGAAAGGCGCATGAACTGAGTAATCGGTCACCGGCTCCCAATGGGCGCGATACCCTGAATTCGCCCCACTGTCTTGCAGTTAGGCTATTGAGCCAAAGGCTGGGGGTGATGACCCTCTGAGACAACCCCCTACTTCGACCTAGGCAACCAGATAGTATCTCGCCTACTGATGAACCATGGAACTGAACTGCACACTTCGCTCTACTGATGCTTTGCTCTCATGCTACTACTGCAAACACTCTTCCATCACACGCCGCTCGCTTATCTACTCTTCCGCTGTATCATTCTTCCCCGTTTTTGTCTGATCAATCAATGATGAACAGCATTTCTTCCTCCGATATCACTGTTGCCGATCCATCCTCTGACATAATCACACAGTGCCAATCCGTGATTGAACAGCCCCGGATTCTCTCCTCTCCGCTTCTGCAACGGAAGACGCAGTTCAACCTGGCGGCGTTCATTGTGCGCACCTTAAAACAGACTAGGCAACAAGCCGGTCTTGCATGCACCGTAGAAACTCTTGCAATTGATGTCTGTTGTTTGTCCGAAACATGACTTCAGGATTCCAGCACAGTCTGCTCATTGTCGTCACCAATGCACCCTTATACTCCTTTCCACCTTCGACTTTCGGAGACGCCGAGGCTACCGCTTCTGAGCAAGCTGGTGTTGCGGTCGCGCTTAGTGCCCGAGCCGAAACTGCACTTCTCGTATGGATTCCGAACAACAGTCGCCTTTGTGCTGTCCGATTCCATGGCTCGTGCAAGGTTATGGGGTGTTGGGAAGACAAATGTGCTCTTTTTGTAATCTCCGCCTATGCTCCCTCTGACTGTAGCCCAGATACCGTCAAGGACCAATTCTATCAGAACCTTCATGCTTTACTCTTAAGGGCCCCCAAAACGGACATCATTACTATGGCGGGGATTTCAACTGGCGTGTTGGTCGTTTGTTACCAAGCGAACGCCATCTTGGAGACCCGCATGCATACGACAACTTTCCCTCTTGCAATGGCAAAAGACTACTCAGTTTGTGTGCCATCCACCAAATTTACCTCTCCAGCAAGAACTTTCGCCACCCTAGACGTCACTACGCTACCTGGCATGCTTCATCATCTCCTCAACGTTGGTCACAGATTGACCACATCGCCATAAGTCATCGCTGGCGTGGCAGTATTCGGGACTGCAAATCCTATTGGTCAATATGCGTGGAAACTGATCATGCGCTAGTGCGTGCGTCGGTTTGCATGCGTTTCGCTGACTCGCGTAAGTCCAGACCAACTCGACTTAACTTTAGTAAACTGAAAGACCCCGCCTTGCAATCGGAATATCAACAGCAGCTTCGTGAGAACCTCACTTCTCCGCCTCCTCGGCACGTTAATCAGCATTGGTCGCCATTGCAACAGAGTATGTTTTCAGCGGGTTTATCCAGTTGCGGTCTTGTTCGTTACACAACTAAAAGTTGGATCTTGGCCTCCTCCGCGGAATTTCTCTACTATCGGCGAGCTATATCCGTCAGTGTGGAGCACACTGAGCTCCGCCGTTCTATTTTCAGACAACTGAAAATGAGTCCTCGCCGTGACCGTGAATCCTGGAAGTTGCTACTTCTGCTGGTAATAGCCGCAGGTTGTTTTATATCATCAGATCTACCGGACGCAAAGTTCAGGCCATCAGTCAGAGCATCGGTGATTGAGACGGCAAAAAGATCACCAGCCTACGCAGACGCCTGGATGTCTGAGCAGAACACTTTGTTCTACAGTTTATTTACCCAATACAACCTCCAGTTACACATCCAATGCCATCATGTGATCCTTGGTCAGTCTGATTACATCCTCCCACTGAAGCAGAAATACGGAGGGAAATTCAGACTCTGAAGCACCACAAAGCTCCTAGCCTTGACAGTCTTCCTCCGGCCTTATTCAAAAATGGGGGAACTTAGTTGTCACCGATATTCTGTTATTGTTCACAAATTTATAGCGCGATGAGATCCCCTACTCATGGGGAGAACCTATTGTGGTTCCGATCCACAAGAAGGGCTCTTGTAGTGAATGCAACAACTACCGAGGAATCTCACTTATCTCTGTCGCGTCTAAACTTTTTGTGTCCATTCCACTGCGTAAGCTCTCAGTTACCCGCGAGAGTTTGTGTCGTGATGAACAGGCTGGCTTTCGTTCTAGCCGTAGTTGCATTGGCCAACTTTTCACGTTGCGTCAAATTCTCGAACGTCGTCCTGTCCACCGAAGACCAACAATGGTGGTGTTTTTGGATATCCGAGCCGCTTTTGATTCAGGTGATAGGTCGTCACTGTTAAACTGTCTGCTACGGAACGGCGTTCCGGACAACTTTGTCATACTCTTGAAAAAGCTGTATAGTAACACCTCTGAAAAGTTAGGGCTTATGAAACGCTTTCTTCTTCGCTTCCTGTGTCCAGTGGAGTGTGCCAAGGTTGTCCTATTTCACCATTCCTGTTCAGCTTTGTCATCGAAGATGTCCTACATCGCGCAATGGAAGGAGCCCAGAGCTGCGGCGATGAGCTTCTACCCGGAAACAGAGTCGTGGACCTGGACTTTGCTGATGACGTCGCTTTGCTGGGGGACGACTCGCAGGTTCTTCAAAACATTCTGAACCGTTTAGCGATAGAGGCCTCTAACTACGGTCTGTAATTTGCTCCATCCAAGTGTA